CTTAGAAAAGCCGCTAGGATTACTTGATAATTTTATGTACACTATACCAGACCACAATGCAGAATAAATAGGCAAACTTAGTTTTGAAATCAAGAACCACTTGAAACGGATGCTGAGTTCTGTAATTACTCGACTCTCGAAATATTTTAAGCAGTTTCTGAATTTAAGACTAATTTGTATGTTGGTGCCACCGTTTCACGTGTCTTTCTGAAATATCGCTGTTTTTTTTTTGTTTTTTTTAACGTTAGTTTTTAAAACAAATATGGGAACACAACAATCTTCTTGTTTTCGCTTGATTGCTATCATACGTGTTTGGCCTGTTGAAATGAAACGTGGTAGCCATGTCATGTTTGTTAAATTTTACGGGAGAGATTCTATAATAGTGAGAACCTTGTGTTTCGAAGTAATATAATAACTGAGTGATAAATATTTCAGTATATTATCGTTTTGTGATATGTACACTGATATTTTAAATTTCTTTTTATATAAAAATTTTTTTCAATATTTTTTTACGTTTCTTATCCGTTTTACGAGTTGTATTTTACCGCGTTTATAACATTTTGTTTTGTTCTAAATGTTATTACTCTCAAAGCAACACACTTTCTGTTCAAAACTTGAAAACGCTTATTTTGTCGAGTGGCGTTCAATCATTTTACATATGCATTTTCAGAATTAAAAAGAAAAATCCCAATTTTCATTTTGCTGGAAAAATGGGTTCTCTCTAAAGTAAATGTTGGGAAAGTTCTACTTATCCTAAATGGTTTCTTCTACAAATACTGTCGAATGCGTTGCGGAGTTCGCAATGCACATGGCCACAACGTAAAAAAAAGGTTCACCTATATTTCACAATTTTTTAATTATCATTCTTATATTATGCGAGCGAAATAAGTCTGAAAGTGCTATAAAAGGGAACTTTTTAGAAAATAGCTTGTATATTTGATTTCGCAAATACTGCGAAACCAACGAGCTTGAGTAAACTTAGAGCGGTAAACCAGCGGCTAAAAATGGCACCCCCCCTCCACCCCGGTGGCCGCCATTAGTGATCACGTGAGGTTGAAATGGCTGCGCGCAGAGCTGGGTTCAATCAGATTGGCAGTTCACGGTCAGCAGATGAGCACTCTGGGGCTGCGTTCCAATCTTACTCGAATGGGTCCGATTTATTCCGGCGGAGAAAGTCACGTGAAAAGACATGTAGCAATGCTGGACGCGTGTAGGTTTTCGAAAGCAACGGGCGCAAGACCTTCACGCAGAAGTGAGATAGAAGCTGCGTTCGATTTACTTGCACCTCCTGCACCGGTGCAGAAAAGTGTAGGGCGGTGTGCTTCTTATCGTATCTCAATACACGTACCGGAAGTAACTGCCATAGACTTTTCTGCATCGGTGCACGAAGTGTAAGCAAATCGAACGCAGCTTATATCTTACTCCTGGGTAAAGGTGTCGTACCTGTTGTGTTCGAAAACCTACCCACGCCTCTGCGCGCAGCCATATTAACGTCACGTGATCACCAATGTGTCAAACAAGCAAGATGGCGGCAACAGAAAGGGGGGGGGGGGGGTCATATCCGCTGCAGGCAGTAGGTTCCGGTTTACCGCTTTAAGGTAAGACTCAACCTCGCTGAGCGACACCCGCCATATAGTTAAGAACCGGAAGTTGTTGTGGGCTATTTGCACATTTGCGTCACAGTGTTTGAACTCACGCGAGAAGGAGCAAAGAAAAGCAGCTCTAACGTGCTGCTTTGGTGGAGTCGCTCTTTTGCCGCCGCCGCAGCGTGCACGGTTTCATTTTTGTTTTAGTCCATGGCACAAGTTGGCATAATTAAACATTTCTTTTGAGCTCTGAATAACATTATTTATTTAGTCGAGACAACATTGTATTATTGTCGATTTGGTTCTATACTTATCATCAAAAAGAAAAACACCAATGTGGAATTGTGTAGCTTAATTGTGAATAAGAAAAAAAAAACATGGCGGATAAACGCCACACACCTTCGTGTACCTTGTTCTTTTTGTGTCCTCCGGGAACCTTCATAATCTATTTAGGAACGAAACATAACATTGGCACACCAATATATCAGACTGCTTTCAACTTTTAGTGAGGAAAAAGTTTTAAACCTGGAACCTGACCGGATTATTAGAGCAGCATTATCAGATTGCAAGGAGCACCCTCTCACCCCACATGTAATGGGCTGACAATCCCACGTTTTATGTTCTACTTTACGCAATAAAGCTCTCCTAGGCTTGTAAACCCCGCTTACTAATATGTGATCATTTTAGTATTGTGATTCTTCAAAGCAGGCCAGTGTTGTACGGAACGGCGTTCCAAGAAACGGCGTTCCTAGAATGCGTTCCTTTCAGGAGGAACAAAGGAACGCCGTCGTTCCATTTTGCATTGGTGGAACTGGAACGTGAACTCGTTACATTTTTACTCGAACAAAAAAAAGAACGGCGTTCCTTTTTTCGTCCAGTGGAGTAATTTTTATTTTATTTCTAAGAGGGAAATTTTAGAAGTATAATAACAATATCTTTACGAAGAGCAGGATCTCATTAATTTTTTGGTTACTTATCTTAGGGTTTATTTTCTGTGATCTTCGCTTGGTAACAGTTGGGTACAGGAGGGCTAGTGGACATTGATTTTTTTTTTCAGTGCCCGAGGCAGCCGTACAAAAAGCAAAACCTTTAGTCAAAGGAAAAGGCACAGAAAGAGGGCCGTTTCAAACTCAGCTACTTTCTTTGCTTCTACAAATTCTCATACACACAGAAATGTAAGGCTAAATACAGCCGTTACTGAACTTCCACAAACAGACCTTCAGTTTCAAGAAACGATAGGTTACCAGACATCGAACGCACCCTTCTATCCCGAACATTGATCACTTACATATACACAAAAAATGTGCCGTTATTCCTTCTTCTCTTGTCCCCCACCTTCAAACTGAACAACGAATCCACTTTCACAAAGAACTTCTAGTTTTCAAGACTGACATCCCAAAAGCCCTATCCCCTTTTTCACTTGCTCGTCTTGCAGGCAGCAAAATTGAGAAGCAACTGTTTTTAAGTTCAAACAAGGGACTTTGTTAGATTAAAATGTGTGAGGGTTGTAAAACGCTCGTGCAATGTGGGGTAAGAGTATATTTGGCTAGTCTGGATCGCCCACCACAAACATGATTATGGTTAAAAACTGAAATTTTAATGGTGAATATATCAAGAAATGAAACTTTGCTTCCGCTTGACTTCTTCTCCTGGTGCCCTTTCACCAGGGCATTCAAATTGTTATGTTGCCATCTGATAACATAGATTTAAAAAAAACAACTTCGCTTGATTTATCAAGATATGCTGATCTGCAAGATACAAATGTAACGTATATGTAACGATACGTTCCATTGTTTTAATTGTAACGGGAACGAGTTCCTTTTTCACATATGGAACTTGTAACGGGAACGCGTTCCAAAGATCAGAAGGAACGAGGAACGAGCTTTCGTTCCTTTTTTTTTAGGAACGTGTACAATACTAGAGCAGACTGTTCAAAACATAAAATTATTTAAAAAAGGTAAAATAGGCTTTGTTAATCGTCTGTTTAACATGACTTTCTTTCTGCCCCTGCACACTTACTGGAATTGAGGTGTGTAGCGGCTTCTGTGCAAAGTAAACTTTGATGGTTGGTGCTTCTGCAGTTACCATTTTAAATTCGCGTGTATCTGTGGAAACGCATGCTGAAAAGTGTTTGTATCTCATGTATTTTCACTTCTGTCTTACAATAAATTGCTAGTCTAGTATATCGCCAAGCAACAAATCATCATTTTACCTCATCCTAGTCCAAGTACAAGACATAAATCTTTAAACTAGATACTTGAACAAGTCTAATAGCTGTCCTTTTTAATCTTCCGGTGGCGAAGCTTCGCATACATGGTGCTGGTATCTTTTTCTGTATTATTACGATTATACAAAAATTCTAAATCATCTTTGATTCTAATTCCGGCGTTTGAACAAACCTTACCGAATTATCGATTTTAAGGGTGAAAAACAAAATACCGGCAACCGATGGCTATTCTTGACTCCCTAACTGGAGAGAAAAGTATAAAAAATCCGCACAGCTCCATGATTGGGCACTCACACGCAAGCCCAATTCGAAGCTGACTGCTCGGTCTAACCACCTTGAGGCCTACTTTACAATTTTTTTTCTCTGACTCATTGTTCTACAGACTGAGGCATTGCGCTTAACACTGTCCTCTGCATTAATTTTCTTCTTTTTTTTGTAAAGGGGGGTCGATGCAAATCAGCTAATAAACTTCCGGCTCTGTAACCTTTGAGTAACTAAGGGTACACTATTGTCTAATGCTTTCGTTCATTGTTAAGAGTTTCAGTGATGCATAGAGATTTAGTTTTACAATTTGTAAGAAGTGGGGAGTTTTCACAAATTTAAAATATGAACAAGCACAAAGCGTATACCGCCTACAAATACACTTCTGTCGAGTTCCTCGTGTATCAAAACTTTACTGCGTAAGGCGTTGATACCCTTTGTGAATAAGTCAATATGGTATAGGACCTTGGATTATGTTTTATTTTTTCTCTAAGAAATATTACGTCTTTATCAATGTCTCACCTCTCATTGGTTGAAATTTCTACGAAAGTTGTTCAGGCAAACGTTTCATAGTGATTTTGTTATTCACATTCTTAATCTTTCCAGTTAATATTAAAACTTGGTAATAAACTGGTCGAATTTCCGAGCTCATTTTGCATACAGCACATAAAGCTATGCGTTTTGATTATCTCTTTGCAGCTAGAATTGTAACTCAAAGCTATGACATTTCGCAGCGAAACGTTTTTCAATTTTACCACCTTTCCGGCACGCTCGCAGCCTCTCTTGGCTTCAAATGGGCGCGCTCTGCGAAATAGGAGCACGCGTTCTGCGCAAATTTCATTCAAAATTCTCGGGCTGCCTCAAACAAGACATCTCAATTCCCCAGCTCCACCTGTAGTTTATCTAATACCTGATTACTTCTTTCTTTAGATCGCGTGAACGGCTAGTTTTCGCCGGCCCTGCGGCTCACAGAAGCCATTAGCCATCATTGCTAGTAGAATGGCTATTGACATGATGCACACGCGCACCAGGAAGTCTGCAAAGGAACAAGTGTACGCAGCTTTTAGTCTCACTTACCCATCTCGTCAATCTTCGGCGTGAGTGCAAGCGTGATCCCGATGAGCAACAGGGCTATGGTGAGTATGACGGCACTCACAGTGACCACAATCATCTCGGCCTTCTTGTCCCGCCTGCCTTCCTGGTCTTCCTCGGCCTCTTCCTCAGCCTCGCTGGGCTTGTTCTGCTTCCGCTTCTTCTTGCGTTTCCGCTTGTGCTTCCTCCCCTCCTTCTTCTCGGACCAGACGCTCTCCGACTTGGTCGTGGCCACGGTCTCGCAGTCCGACGGGAAGTCATCCTCGATGACCAGCCTGGACTGGCACCGGCCCACGGACAGGTCCTCGGCCTGCGACGCCCGGTTGTTGTGACGGTGATGTCGCCGGTGGTGCTTGTGGTGTCGCCGTGGATGGCTGTCGCTTCTCGACAGGTCGCCTTCGTCAAAGACGGACGGCGTCTCTTTTCCGGACCAGGGAGAGAGGTTATTGTCCACGTCGGCTATTTTGTCGCCGCTCACCATCATCTCACAGTCGGTGATGACGATCCGACACTCATCTTCACTGGGGGAAAGTGGCTCCTTGTCCTCAAACGACGGCCGGATTTCAATGGTGAAGTTGTCCTTAGGGCTGGAAGTCATTGCGATCGTGGATGGCGGATGCTGGCACGCCGGCCAGTGACGTCCTCTCACGTCGTTCTACTTGGCAATGTCATGAACCGATGCTCGTCATGCCAGAAAGCGTCGAGGTTCCCTGCAACTCGGCGGTTACGTACGTGGCAGTCATGGCAGTGAGAAGTGAACAGTGACGTCTCGGGCGTAGCGTTGCAAACATTCGCATTTGGCTCGATGGTAGTCGATGGTCATTAGAAGCTTATGTTTGACTGGAACAATCAATCTTGAGTTTTGCTGAGTCCGCGATGTCGATCTTCTCGCGCCTGGAGCGGACGGTGAGTCACAAACTGAGGCGCGAATTAGGTGCTTTGTTCGAGTTACCAGCACCCAGCAAGGATCCCTAATTGCCGGCGCAAAATTCTGGATTGAAACCAGTGTCGATCGTTAGGCGACAGTAGGCCTATCCCAAAGTTTTCGCCCCAGAATATTTGCAATTAGGCTAAATGACCCGGCCTGGTCTTGGTCTCCCTTTCACTCCTAACCGTTTCTTAGCTAACCAACGTTGCTGCGCGTGATAAAAGCAGACCCTTCCATCGCAGCAAAAACAAACACTATGCTTTCTTGATTTTCGTACGCTGGAAGTGTACAGAATAACTTCTCAATTAATCTCCTACGCTGTTCGGTTTTGCCTTTTTATTGTGTTCTTTGCTGTTCTTGATTTGGGGAACCAAGGCCAGAAAATTGAACATTTTGCCGGAAAAGCAATCTTGCTTTCATTTTAGCGACGAAGCAGGAGTCCGGTTGCCGCACCTGCAATAACTAAGAGCACCGAGCGCTGGCAGGCTGTTCGCTTTCTTGTCTCATGAGATTTCGTCAATTTATGTCTTTAGTTTCTGTTTTGTATGGCCTCTGTAACCGAAGCTGTCACTTGTGCAAGCGCAGCACAATTTCTTTGCTGCTGATTCTTCGATCCATATAAAAAAGTCCACGCTCACAAAGAAAGGTAATAAACGAGCGAGGCTTTCTGTCGTTTATATCTTAATCAGCCACTCGGCTAAAGAAAAAAACAACGGCTTGTATATATAACACGAAAAAGGTGTAGAATTTATTCTCCGGGTCTTCACTGACGCACGCCTCCTTTATTCGTCTTGATTAGGAATCACCACGCGTTGTGTCTGCATGCTTTTTTTTTTCTTCCAGAACAGCTAAGAAAAGAACTCTATCTCCAGACGTACGCAGAGCAATAAAGGTTCCTCGGTTCTTGGAGCACTGTTAAGTAAACGGCGACGTCAAAGGGAAATCGGCAATATTTGGTGAAAATATCAAGCGCTTTCAAACAGCCATTAGCGCGCTTCTGTTTACGGCCTCACTTTGGAAATAAACTGAAAAACGTTAGTCTCTGGAGAACGCAGTGCAAGTGCAACCGATTGTTGTCCAACTGCTTTTAGTGTCTACGAGATAGGTGGAGCGAACAAAAAGTGGAAACGGGCTGCTTTTCTGGCATGAAGTAGTTTTAGAGCGGCGCTATGAAGGAAGGGAGCGAGTAAATGACACTTGTTATTTTTGCAGTCAATGCAACCACGGCGGGTTTTTTGTATAGATTTTGTCAGTAGCACAAGTTGGGATAATGTCCTCAACTTTCCGTTTCAAGTGCCCGTTTGGTGCCGTTGTTTCCAGGAGCCTTTTTTTTATTTTTAACATTTGATATCATCTTAGCGGCAGACCATTTTCGTGATAACCAAAACAAAAACTACTTTTCAAAAAGCAGACCTGCCAGGGGATTTTTTGGTTATTTCTAACTCTTTATCTCGTCCGGAGAAAAGAGGAAACTGTGTAGACTCCGTAAAACCTTCTTTTTCCTCTCAACGTTTCTCGGGAGATTGGGCTGGACAGGTAAACCGCTTCATACAGCGCACCGGCTGGAAGTGCGTGTCGGATAGAGTTAAGGTACGCTGACCGGGCTTCCCACTTTATTATTGATAAACCCCGTCAAACTTTATATCCAACTTTCTCTTACGAAGACAGAACTCGCTTATATTTTGTTGTCTCGAATAATGGGAGTATTGAAGTGATGTGTTTTTTCATTGTTTTGATTTAATCTGCCCTCCCGCAATATGCAGTCAAAGCATTTTTTTTCTGTAATGTTAGTTGAAATGGAAGTTGGAACGTTATAACTCCAGAAAACGACCCAGTGTTAAGACATCAAATTTAGAGTTGGAAAGGAATATTAAATTTACTTATCTCTAGAGGATTTAGAAATCCTATGCACTACAATGCTTAAAGAAAGGGCGTCTTTACAAGCTAAGTCCAAGTACACTGCTTGTTTATAGACGACTATTCCTCTCCGAGTTCGAATTGAAGTAGGCTGCCTTTCTGTCTACATCTAGCGTAAAATACTTTTCAGATACTCTTCAGTAGACACAGCATAGTACTCTATCTCTCTCTCTACGTCCCCACACTGTTCTAGCCTCCGGCCACAGAAGTGATCTCTATGCCTCCTTGAAAAACTAGGAAGTACGTTTTCGATCCAGCCGAACTCGTTGATCGCCTCTACGAACGAGTATGAATCTTGAGGAGCCTCTTGCACAAGGGTGATGATTTTCCCTCGGGTTCCGCGCAAGGTTGGCGTAAAAGTCTTCACAGCGAAGTTTCGTCTCAGTTGTATTGCAATCCGTCGGTGACGGTGCCACAGGTGAATTCCAGCGGGTTTTCACTGACGGAGCAGACACCCGCGCACACACGAATACACACGCACGCACACTCCGTAGAACACACAGGCCAGATCAAGATGTTGTTGACGTTGATAGATCCTTGTAGAGATTAACAAACACTGAAGCAATCTGCTTGCACACACAGACGCACTACGTCGACCATGTCACAAACTTCTTTCCTGGTGTTTTTTTTGTTTTCCTTCGGCTTCTGTTCGGTGCTTTTTTGTTTTACAAATATCCGATGCTTTCGGAGATGAACACGCAGACAACGAGCACACTGGATGAACGTGGTCTGGTTAAAACTCTCCTTTATGTCGACGCGTAGAAAACTGCGAGTTCAGAAAAGAGTTTTCCAGTCGTTTCTGAACGTCTCATGTTTTGCTCCCAGCATCGCCTTTCTGGGCTGCATAGTTCAGCGTTTGTTCTGTCGAGCGCTTGACAAGGAGATAACAAGCACTCAAACAACCGAACAATGTCTTGTTCGGTCCTTCGAGCCAGCCTCCACTGCCCGATTGTTTAAAATATATTGCGAGCTGACAGGAGCTAGGTCTGGCAACTCTAAAAAGATTAGAATACAGCGTCAAGAACGCAATTTACGTTTACATGAAATGTAATCTATATGTGAGGTGTAACTAGTAAAAATCTGGTGCCAACAAATGTGTGTTCACATATATTTCAATACGCACGCCAAGTTTTTACTAGTGGGTATTGGCGGATGCTATGTATTGGTATATTTAAATTTTAACAGAAACGAGGCGTTTGTGATTTGCTTCTGTTTCAGTATTAAGTCAAAAGTCGTTTCTAGTTGTTTTATTTGTCAAACCTACCTCTTACAATCTAAATCTATGACTCAACTCTACCTCGAATTATAACTGATATTGTAAACTTCCGCCTTCGATTGGAAAGCTATAAAATATTGTTTTAATATTTCAATCAAATAAGCACCTGTTGAACTTCAATTGAAAAAAAAAACTGATATTTTAAACAGCACGGCTTCAATATTTGCAGGTCACTTTAAAATGCCAAGCTACATTTGGAAATTAATTTTGTGGAAGAAAAAGCTTAGCTCTCGAAGGTCACCACTTGTTGATGTCGAGGCGCCGCAGCTTTCGTAGTTCCGTCGGCGCACTCACGGTTTAATGCATTACTCGTTATTAACACCCGTCGAAGGGTAGTCTCACAAGCGTCCACAATATATCTTTGTTTTGCACACACAAACGTCAAACTAATAAAGGAGAAAGTCTGCTATAAAAGGAATGGAGCAGACTTACGACTATAGAAGACAAATGTACCGTCCATTGACGCATCTGTCTCGACCGCAGAACCAGAGGCACTCTAGCGCACAATGCACGCAACCGGACGAACGCCGGCCACAAAAGCACCAAGAAAAAAAAATAAAACACAAAACACGATCACCACACTTAGCAACCAACCACAGGAACGTGCACGCAGAGTCTAGCCGTTCCGAGATGCCCGGTTGTTTGAATGGTGGACTTCCAAGCCAAGTTTCGCGCAACTTGGAGCGAGCGCCAGCAACGCACGACGACTCCTTTGCTGGGATCAAAAAAAAAAGATACACCACACGTGCAACGCACTCCAACAGGCGCACCACCACAGGTTAGAATAGGAGGCGCGTCGAACGGTGTACGGATCGAGTCAAAAACTTCCGGAGGCGAGGAAGCATGCGAAAGAAGATCGGCTTTTCGAGAATAGCGGCAGCAGCAGCAGCGGCGGCGGCGGCGACTCTGTGCGCTGTTGTCTCCCAGCTGGAGCTCGGCGCGGAGGACTCGAACCCGGGCCCGATCAAGCTGGTATAGGAGAGAGCGGTCGCACCGGTGCGCGCGCCGCTCTGCTGCGAGCGGGCTCGGTCGAGCTCGTTTGCGAAGTGGCCGCACGGCCGCGTATGTGCGCACGTGTGTGCGTGCGTGTGCCTATGTGCGCCTGCCCGATCCCGGAGCTCTTGGGCGAGGGAAAAGGGGATCCCGCAGAGCGCGCCGCGTTCGAATCGATTTCGAAGGCCCCGAGAGAAGCGCTAGACGCCACCGCCTCGTCGCCAGCGTGGTGCGCGGCTGCAAGATCGTGCAGTTCCGCCGCGTGCTCTGCCCTAGAGCGGAGAGGGCCGGCAATCCAGGTAACCCGGAGGAAACGGACGGAGATGCTTTTTTTTTTTTTCCAAGAAGCACAAGCAACGGTTAACAAAAGCCTTTTCTACTTCACGTTGTTTATTATAATTTTTCTTGTAGAAATATCTTTTTTTTTTTTTTTTTTTTTTTTTTAGTGGCCTGGTAGTGTTCTTTCTATCAGTGACGTTTTGAC